AAAATAGAATCCCTCCCTGGTCTACTGGTGGTATGGTGTGTGAGCCTGGTCTTCACACTCTTTTGTGTGTACTGACTCTACTGTCCCCCAGCAGCTATGGCTGGATTTTGTTGGTAATGCCCTGGCTTTCCCCTGTAAGACTCCCTTGGCATTTCTAATGAGCACTTTGGGAGTGGTTATTCACATACTTACTATGTGCTCTGTGGAAGAACAGATGTGTGGTGATGCCATTTAAACCATTTCTGCTTTCTATCCCAAATTCAAACAGACTAAGTATCTATAGTTTTTTAAAGCTGCTTAGCTGATTCTTCGGACTTTGAAGCCAGACAATCCTGGTAGGAACTGAAAAACAGAAACGAATTCTTTGTTAAGCTGACCTCTGGGTTACTCCGGCATTGTGCCATTGTTGGTCCTAAATGGTTAGGAATGGGGTTAGAAATGGGGCATAAAGCGGTGCTCTGGCTTCCCGCACAGCCTGTGCCTACGTGGACTGCTCAATGTTTCTTGAACCTACTTCATGATTTTCCACCGTCGCATGCTGCTTTCGGTTTTAGAAATGCGCTCCTTCTTTGTCTCTTTGAAATCTCTTCGAGGTTCTGTTAAGGAGACGACTCCTTCATGAGGCCTGTCCTGAGCTCCCCAACCAGCGGTGCTTTTCTCTCCTCTGAGCTTTCAAAGCACTGACATTCAATGGACCCGCTGGGACTAGAACTTGTGCAAAGCCTCCTGCCACTTGTCCTCTTTCCTCTAAGCCCCTCTGAAGCTCATGGCTAGGTATTGGACCAAAGAGAAAGGGACACACCACCAACTGGCCAGTAAAGAAGCAAAACTAACCTAGAATGCCAGTATGTAATGATGAGCACTCGGTGAAGTTTTCTTACGTATACCTTGTTTGTGAGTGAAAATTTGAGTTCAGTTCAGTACACTTGCTTAACTTTTTTTTTTTTTTTTTTTGAGGCGGAGTTTCGCTCTTGTTGCCCAGGCTGGAGTGCAATGGTGCGATTTTGGCTTACTGCAACCTCCACCTCCCAGGTGCAAGTGATTCTGCTGCCCCAGCTTCTGGAGTAGCTGGGATTGCAGGTGTGCACCACCATGGCTAGCTAATTTTTGTATTTGTTTTTTAGTAGAGACAGGACTTCACCATGTTGCCAGGCTGGTTTCAAACTCCTGATCTCAGGCGATCCACCTGCCTCAGCCTCCCAAAGTGCTGGGATTATAGGCATAAACCACGGAGCCCAGCCAACTTTATTTTTAATGTTTGCTATGAGCTAAAGATGATGTGAGACACTGAGAATACAAAGAATAATAATAACCTAAATGTTACAATGCTTATGATACATCACACCATGTTCTAAGCACTTTATAGTTATTATTCACTTAATCCTCATAACAATGCTATGAAGTTGGTGCTATTATTATCTCTAAGATTTTCTCCCCAAAATAGAGGCATTGAGAGGTTAAACAAGTTACCCAGGTTACACAAGCTGTAGGTAACACAGCTGAGATTTGAACCAAAGCAGTCTTGCTCCAAGATAAATAAGACATAGTCCTTTAGTCTCCAACTGCTTAGAGTCTGAGGATCCTAACCAAAAGTGCATTATGGTTCTTTTTCAGTCTCAGAATCACAGACACATTTCACAGACCTGGATGTAACCACCAATGGGGTGCAGTGTAAGCTTTGGGTTAGCAGACTGTTGGACCAGGCCACAGCTGAGACAAGTGTTGAGAAGTGGTTGTCTTAGCATGCCTCAGAGAGGCAGTTGTCAATAAGGGCTGGGCTGAGCTCCCCGTTAAACTGCAAATCCTTATGCAGAGGGCATTGTCCATCAGACGGGACTAGGAGCATCACTGCATAAGGAGACTGGTCCTTCCCTTAGGAATTTTCGTTTTGTTCTGGTTCACCGTCATCATCAGCGAATGTAAATGCACAGTGCCATTTTGTGGTATAGACTCATTGCTATAAGAACTGCTCTAAGGAGATCCTGACATATAAATAACCATTTGGATATTTCCTTAGAATTTCCTTCCAAAGTAACCGATCATGCTTCAGTGATGAAACTCTGCTAAACTGAAGCCATGTGGAATTGGAGCCAAATGCTAGGACAACATAGCAATCTCCACAAACATTTCTTTGGGGATTCGGGAATGTTCAGAGTAACCCTGCATCTTAAACACTGTGTTTTTTAGCCAAATGGGTTTTCTGAGAAAGAAGAGGTTTTAAGAGCGTCTCTGGAGATAAATGAGCATATAATCATCTGCTCTAGGGGGAAATGGTTCCAAAGCTCTGGCATAAATCTGGGAAGTTGTTGCTTAGAAACAACTAATGTTGTGTAACTCTCTTCCCTGGACAACCATTTAGGGTCTCCATAATTTGCTCACTTCTACCCACAGTTTCTAAACCTTTAACCGCAGGTGAGAGTTCCTAATCTCCTTCCCCAGTGAGCACTGTAGCAAACAATCTTTCTCATCTCCCTAGAGATTAAGCACTTGGTGGGGACTGATCCTCTTCTTCTTATGTGAGATTCTGTTGAGATGGCAGAGACAAGATAAGTCATGACAGAACCACTTGGGGTTCCATGACATTTTTCCTGCTCTGCCCATGACTCAGGAGTTTCCTGGGATGCAAAATTTTCAGTGCTAAAGCCAGAATGGTGGTTTCCCTAAGTAGGGACATGAACAGCTCTCCAAGAGAGGACACAGCTCCATGGCCTCTGGGCTCTAGACAGCTCAGAGTTCCTCCCCCAGCATCATCTGTAGAGGACAATTCAGAGCACAGTCTCTGTTGAATTGTCCAGTGATTGTTCTTTCAAAGAAAGATTCCCCCATAGAGTTACATTAGAGAAACTGTTGGAAATATTACACACAGCCAGATTCAGTTCAGCTCATTCAATTTTCTCAGTGTATCAAGCCTACAACACATGACACTGAACTAGAGGCTGGGGATACGAAGATGAACAAAGCACAGTCTTGCTCACTAGGAGCTCTGAGTCTAATGGAAGAGATGAAAATGTAAACAAAGGAGAACTTTTCACTATGAGAAATAATAGTGAATAGTAATAGAAGTGGCAGACAAGGTGTGGGGAATGAACATTAATAGGGTAGTTAATTACTTGAAGTCAAGAAAGGCATTACAGAAAATTGATACTTCAGTGGACAGATTGAGAATGAGTCAGTGTTTGCCCATTGGACAGAGGAACAAAAGCACAGAGACAAAAATTGATCTGGTCAAGCAGACACTTTCTGGTATATTTAGGGAACTAACAGATAAGGTCTGAATACAGAGTTTGAGACAGAAGGAATGGTAGGAGAGGAGGCCGGAGGCAAGGGGCGTGCGAGAGAGACCATGAATGACATCGTATGAAATTGTAGTAATTACTGTTGGCCACCTACCCAGCACATTTTCCCACTTTGTTAATTCTGGTCAGGTGATCCACCCCCCACCCCCGCCATAGTTGAAGACTTCTTTAAGCCAATCACAATGATCTAACTTCTCTTGTCAGTGGCTTGTTTAAGATTTGTACAGGGACAAAAGAGATGCCAAGAGATGTGTGTCTGTTGAGAGTTCTGCAGGAAAAGATGCTCTACTCTCCCACCAGAAGCTGCCATGTTTGCATGTGAGGCAGCCATCTTGTGACTATGAGGATGGCTGGCTTGAAGATTAGCTGACTTGCTGAGGGTGATAGAGCAGAAAGATGAAAAGCGCCTGGGGCCTTGGAGTCACTTTCCCTTAGAAAAGTGACATTTTGTTATGTGGAATAAGAATTCTTCCTCATTGTTTCATCCATTTTGAATAGAGATTTCTGTTAAAGAAGGTTTAAAACACAAATTAGATGGCATAATGTGTTGCAAAGTTGAGACTTTAGGTGACAGGAGAAAAGGAGTAATGTCATGAGTTTCGTTATAGGACATCAACTTTTAATTAGGAGCCACGTTTCTTGCATTTAAATTTTAGGTGCAGAAACTCATTCATTTATTCACCTAGACCTTGTTTTGAACTTTATATGACGCATCATTTTAGATGCTGAAGATGTGTTGTCAAATAAGATAGGATATCCCTTCTTAGGGGACTTGCAGCTTCTTAGTGGAGATAGGTAAGTAAATCAATTTCACTGTGGCAGGTGAAGCTGTGGCAGGTGCTTTGATAAAGTTACCCCCAGGGGACTGTAGTCATGCTCTAAGGGCTCCTAAGTCAGTCTTATAGATTGTGGAACATTTATCAAGGCTGTGTGATTGGACTGAACCAGTTGAAGACTCCTAGACCAGTAACTAGTCATCTGGAGAACTCCCTCTGGGCCTGTGCACCCTCCCATCCTTGACTTACATGTTTCCACTGTGGTTCCTCTGACTTCAACTCATTTCTGGATGGTGGAGACCTTTTTATGTACTCATCTGGTCTCAGCTCTGCTAGATTTAGTTTCTTGCTTTAGTCTCTTGGATTGACTAGTTCGAGTCTTCTAAGTTGCGTTTTTGTTGGTTCTAGCTTCCAGACTCTTTCTGAGCAGGTGTTCGTCTAGTTTTGATTTCACAGATTTTGGCTTTTTGCTGTCTATTTTTAGATATGTTCTGATTCAGGAATTATCTGCTGAACACTTCCAGCCTGTCTGGTTCTCCACACCTTGCCTTTCACATAGTCTATACATGGCATTAGTTGTCAGGGCACATAGGTTCAGAGTACTAATAATGACTGCGGCTCAGTCATGTCGTTGTTTTGGGACTGATGTAGAAAGTTAGATTGGTAAAGAAAACTTTGAAGTAGGTAAAAATTAAACAGAAAATAATTGCCATCTTCCTTCTTGGCATCTTTGTTTTTAGGGGGTTTTGGGGGGATCTCAAGACTTTTCAAACATCCAGAGAAGCTATATATGCATAACAGTGTAACGTCCCATTTACTAAAATTATTTGCATTATGAATGATGTTGTTTAATGTGGGGACAGTATTAACAACCTGTTAATATTATGTAAAAATCCTTTTTTCTACAGGGTGAAAGATAAAGAAGAGTCTGTGGCTCATGCAGCCTTCCTGAAAATTGATTATGTGAGGTATCCACAGAGAGGTAAGGACTGTGAGAGGTAGGTGGCTTTTCTTAGGGCCCCTTATAGTATTAAAATAGCTTAATGTTTACCCTCTAGGATTACAGAGCTTGGAATTCAGTAAGTAATGCCAGGCTTGGTGGCTTAGGCCTGTAATCCCAGCACTGTGGGAGACTGAGGCAGGAAGATTGCTTGAGGCCAGGAGTTCAAGACCAGCCTGGGCAATTTGTTTCTTAAAAGAAAATTAGCCAGGTATGGTGGCACACACTTGTCATCTCAGCTACTTGGGAGGCAAGAGGATCTGCCTGAGGCAAGAGGATCTCTTGAGCCCGGGAGTTCAAGGCTGCAGGGAACTCTGATTGTGCCACTGCCCTCTAGCACCCCAGCCTGGGTGACAGAGTGAGACCCTGTCTTTATAAAAAGAATGAAAGTCAGTAGGTAAAAGAGGTTTAAGTAAACAGAAGACACAGAGGTGCATAATATGCATATATTACTTTTAAAAAATTAGAGATCCCAAATATTAAGCTTCTCTCAATGAATATATTTATTTTCAGAAAGAATAACTCTAATGAGCTTATAAAAACAATATAGCTCAATATAAAGAAGTCAAGTAGCAAAGAAAGGTACAAAGAAGAAAGAAAAATGGTCACTCCATATTCTGCTATACGGAAATAGCCATCATTAACAAAGGGCAGTATCATCCTATGTATCTCTCTATATAGAAATACAGACAGAAAAAAAAATACAGTAAAACTGAGTTTGGAATATTCTATATAACATGATCTAAAATAAAAAAATATTAACTGTACTTAATTTTAAAAATTCTAAAACAGTAAAATAAAGCAAATTAAGTACAAGAAATATTAATTCCTGAAATATTTTCTAAAGTTTAAAAAATAAGATATAAAAGAATATTAAAAGATTGGTGTCATGATACTTTTTAACTTAATATGTCAAATATAGGGAGTATTTATTAACTAAATATTAAGAAAACTAGGGAAACTGCTATATTACTGTTTTTATGTAATTTCTCTATATATAACATTTGGTGTTTGTAACCGTTGCAGTGTATTATGACAGTTATTTTGCCTTGTTTTGTATGTAAATGAATTCAGTGCTTATAACCAGCCCTTTTTCCATGGCCTCTCTATTTTTGAGATTTTTGTTTGATCGGCATAGTCATGACCGAATTTCTTCAAGGAGTAGGATGCTCCCTCAAAGAATGGCTGTGATTCTTTGTTTGCTTCTGCCCCTCAGAACTCTGGAGACTTTGCCTGACTCTGTATCACTAATTTCTCTAGCAGTATGTGCTCTTCATCTGCATTCCTTCTTCATTTTCAAAGTAGCTATATCTCAGCTTTGAAAATTGCTAATGATTAATATTTATCTTATGAAATATTAATTGTATAGTACCTACCTGATGTTAGTGGGTATCAGGCTACCTACCAGGTAGAAGTATTACGTAGATTGGCTACTGATGTGGAGCAATCACCAATTTGTTAGTTTTCTTGCCTGGGTGGTGTGGGAGGCTCCCCATTCAGCTCAGTTCTAGGAGCAGCTGTTGCCCACTCAAACGTCCCACATGTCACAGTCTCACTGTGTTGAACTCTGACCATTACTGCCTTCTCTTCCTTCTTTACCCAGCTTTCCATCTGTTGGTTTCTCTTAGGTAGGATGAGAAGTCCCACTGAACATTGTTTCTCCTGAGTCCACCTGTTACTCTGCAAAGTCTATCTGCACCTCTAAAGGGCTATTTGCTTCTTGCTGCCTACCACATTTGTACATCTTATTTTTGCAAACAAAGTTGTATTTGGCTTGGCCTCTATGACGGACCTGCACAATATTTCAACAAACAGATAATTGCCTTATTTTCTAATGGTTAAGAATGGTACACAAAAATATGAATTTCTCCCTTCTCCTGAAATATCAATGATTTGATGATACTGGGACCACATTCCCATAGTCATCTAGAGGTAGGATGGCCTGCTCCAAAATGCCATAGTCCCCACTCCCCCTGATTCTCTTTGACATAGCCTGTGTCAGCCACTTACATTAGATGCTGTCCCACTGTAAGATTTGAATGTGTAATCACTGTTTAAGCAAAGCATCTTGCGATTAAACTTTTTGGGAATAGGGTGATAGCTTATTGGGTAAACCTTCTGAGTGATTATTTATGGAGCACCTGTTACATATCTGGCACTGTGTCAGATGCTAGAGATATAAGACAACAAGATATAGTCACCACTGCTAAGGAGTTCTGTCTAGTCTAGTGTGGCAAATAAACAGCCAACATATAGAAATTGTATCTTTTGACCTGTGCCTCTGTTATATATATAAACAATCTGTCAAGGCGTTCATAAAAAATACAACTAGTTCTAAAGCATGTTTTAGGAATAAGAGTGATCCCATCTTGGAGTCTTCAGGGCAAAGTATTTGAGCTGGTTCTTAGTGGTTTTGGAGTCTTTTAATTGACAGGTGGGTGAAAATTGAATGCCCCCAGAGGAGACAAGGCCATAGACAAACCAGGGCAGAGAGATGAACAAGAGAGGAGAGGAGCTGGGCACTGCAGCAAACAGTGCTGCTAGCAGGAACTAAGGCTTCATTTTTGGCAGTTGGGAAAGATATGGCTTGAAAAGTAAGTTGGGGTGAGATGGGTAATGCTAAGATTTGAGTTTTATCCTTCATACAGTGACAAGTGACTTCAGGATATAATGAGGGGAATGACACAATCAAAGAAAGGTTTTTGTTGGATTAGATATTCTACTCAAGCAGGATAAATTAAAAAGAGAGAAATGCGATGAAACTAAAATTTATGAACTACTTGTTAGATACAAAGTACTGTGATGTTAAAAAAAGAAAAACCTGGACACTTATGGGATTTTCTCCCCTAATATCTGAATTTTAAGATATGTTTTGATGTGTGTATCAATATATTCATTATGTGATACTTGGTGAACCCTTTCAAACGGAAGACTCGTGTCTTTTTTAGTGCAGGAATGCCTTTATTTCTTTGATTATTGATCTTTTGAATACTCTGATCTCTCTTTCCGGAATTCCTGTTACACATAAGTAATAGATCATCTGGATCATCCCCCCCGTGTTTCTTATTGATTTAATACTTTACCACCTTTATCTCTTATACTCTAAGTTATGCGGAAACTTCTTGAACTTGTGCTACAATTAAATTATTCAGTTTTAATACATAAGCCATTTGCTATGTACTGCATTGATTGCATTCTACAAGTTATCTGTCATTTTTAACCACTAATAAATATTTTCTGATGTCAAAAAATAAAATAGCATTATAAATGATATTTAAAAAAATGCTCTATGAAGTTATCTCACTTAAATCCTCAGGAATATACCCGTAGGAGGCATTTTTATTTCTATTTTAAAGAAAAAAACACTAAGGTTCAAAAAGTTTATGAGTCTTACCTAAAGTCTCAAATCTAGAATGTGAATGTGCCTGGAATAGCTTTCCTGTCTGACTTCAAAAAACATGGTTTGATCCCTTCCCCAATATCATGAGGAAGGGCTGCATCATGGAGAGCTCATAATAATTATTATGCTTGTATCACATGTACCAAGACACTAAAGAGATAAAAATGCACAACTTATTCAGGGTCCAATTTCCATCCTTCTGACCTTCTAATTTTTGGAGAGAATTTTATAGGCTTGGAGAAGGCTGTAAAGTATATCCTTTAATCCTCAACTGGTCTATTAGATCCTGACCAGAACAGCTGGAGCAAAGACTCTGAAAATGCATATTTCATTAGTAAACTTTCATATTTAATTTCTTCATATCCAAAGAGAGTCTTTTAAGCTCTCAAGGGAAGGAAGAAAAGGTGGGCAAGTTGTGACAAGTGTAATGAGACTCTTCTGCTCCAAATTATTCAGAGCACTTTAGCCATCTGCTTGGCCCAGAATCGCCACGCTGGCAGATACCAGTAGAGAACAAAGGCAGTGGTTTTTGGAGTGGTCTAGCGCAGTGGACCTTCTTTTCACCTGCCTGCAGGCATGTGCATGCGTGTTTGTGTGTGTGCATATACTAGTCACACTGACACAGCTGTTAGAATAAGCTCAAAGTTTTCCTATCTTAATCTTCAGGATCTTCTTCTCTCTAGTGCCAGGTAATAATATATATACACATATATATGTATAGATTTATATATTTTGTATATATAAAATCTAGAGATGCAAATATTCACTTAAATGATTTAGAAATACCTTTAAACAGTTTTATAGAAAAACTGTGAGAAACACAGTTTAAAAAGCTAGCTCAAAGGTATTGTGAGTAGATTTTAGGAAGATAATTTTGATTTGATTTTTTAAAATTATACTTTAAGTTCTGGGGTACATGTGCAGATCTTGCAGGATTGTTACATAGGTATACACATGCCATGGTGGTTTGTTGCCTCCTGTATGTATCTAGGAAGGAGAGAGGAAAAAGCCTTAGAGGGTATGCTAGCTAGGAGATTGTGGGACAGGTCCAGGATTTCCCTGGTTCCACTTATGCACAATTCCCATTCCACTTCTTCAGTTCTTGGTTGACTAGAGGCGGACCTGGGTCACCAGCAGCCTCAGGAGCCATTTCCTGTTTCTTTGTGTTTCATCTTAGTACAAAGAAAAAGGCCACAGCACCAATGTATGGGAAATAGGGCTAAACATGTTTTCCAGCTTCTTCTTCAGTGTACCTGGACTTGTCAACATCTAGTTTTGCTATGGAAGAGCAATTCATTGAGACTATTGCATCAAATAGTATTGAACATTCATCAGTCACAATAATTACGATTAAGGCTTAATGTGAATGACAGCTAGTGGCTCTAGGTTTCTGCTATGTATGACAGCAATCTGGCAAAAACCTGTAACAGCCTTAGGGATAATGGTTGGACCAGAGCATGGCATCTTCCAACTATATGCAGGGTGTTAAGTTTGGTTTTGAATGCCACACTGCGGAAGTGACAGGAACACATTTGAGCACATGAAATGAGGAGAGCAATGAAAACTAGACAGGAAGTGCCCAGATACTG